ACCCGAACGAGACTCTGCCGTTCGGCGGAGCCTCTTCCGGGTTCCTCTCCGTCCGAAGGCAGGGAGTTAGACTGTTAGCCAAGTTAGACAAGTATGCTTCTTATAATATGTACATTTAATAGGCCGGTTAATAAAATTCGAGGAATAAAAAGCCAACAAAATGATAACATTGGCAATAACATTGACATTATTTATTATATACTAGACTTTTGACTAAATTAAAAAACAAAGAGCAAGATTTTAATGTCAGTTTCCTTTTCCAAGGGGACAATGACAAAGAAATGGGACATACGTTGCCGAGGAAGATTATTGCTATTCATTAGAGCGCTCCCTGTGAAAAATATTTTCTCCGAGTAAGCCCAAACCACTGTTTAGACCCTCAATATGTGATTTTATTTTGAAAATATATTTTAAACGGGTGGTTGAAGTAAGAAGTAATGTCTTTGGTGTTTTTTATGGTTATTATGTTGTCAAAAGCAGGCACGGACTTCTGTTCAATAACCATAAAAAATACATCAAAGACAACAGCAACAATTCCCCTCTTGCTGCACACTTCAACCAATCATTTAATATCAGTGATGGCATCAAATGCGTACCTTCAACAGCCGACAAGAAAGACGCAAATCGAAGTTGAAAATTCCGAAGTTTACCGACTATTACCTTAAATTAGACAGTATAATGGTCGTTTGGACATTCCCATCAGATGCAACATGTCGTAAAATGCACATGTGTTGCGACGAACGCGTTAAATCGAATATGGATGTTCGATTTAAACAATTTTTTTCCCGATTTTAAAATCATATCATATTAGTGGCAGTCAGGAAAAACGTGACTTTAATAAAACACCCAAAGCAATGAAGAGAAAAACTAATGTGCACAGTCAAGAACACTGTAGTGCAGATTTTACAAATATTAGAATTATCCCGTATAAGACCGTTTTCCTTTCTTCAATTACTTTCCCAACGCCTTAACCTAGCGTCTCTGTGCCTATTTTTTTTACAAATATCTCTATGGTAATTGTTCTGATGACCTTTTCTCGTTGGTACCTAGACTTTCTGAATTTAACTTCGTAATATTTTGTCAACTAGGTCTCATTATTTTATTGCTGAAATTTCTAAATATAACTGTAAATTTTATTATAACATTTTCTTTAGTCGTTCATCTCGCCTCTACGACTCTTATTCTGCTTATTGCTTTCTTGTTTTAGAGTCTTAATAAACCTAGTATCAGCAGCAGTATCATAGGTGATAAATCATGCTTAGCCTTAAGTAACTCTCTCTTCCTGTTTTCCCTCCTTTTGAAGTGTGTGCCATCAACTTTACACACTGAAGCAAAAAGGGCTGTGGACGCTTCATATATAAATACACCTACACAGGCAAGTCACATTCAAATACATTTATGAACAATTTTTGTTGTGTATGCAATTTACTTCTATAAAAAGAAACTCTTAAACTTTTCTATTGTTATTATTGTTAAATAAATGTTATCATGCATTGCAAATCAATCGGTCTCTGTTATTTTGTGCATGTATCTTTTCACTAATATTTATTCAAGTATTGTAAAATATTCTCGCAGAAAAATTACATTAATTATAGTAGACAACACACTAAACTTTCAACTACGATCTACAAGAATATAAAATACAACGCATTTTCTCTCTCCTTTAACCCTGTTCTTTTTATCGTTCTTTCTGCTCACTAAAGTTTTCTCAGTTTCCTTCATTCTACTGTTTTTCATCGTCAGAAATTTCTTGTGTCTTCGTTGCTTTATCACCTTTTGGGGCGGGGTAAAATGATTCTTTTTTTTTAAAAATCAGTTTTGTATCTCTCAGAAAAAAGCGTAATAATGAATGCCGTGCATGAGGGACAGTCTGATATCTTCTTTATGGTTCAACGACTTTAAAATCACCAGACACTATACAAAGTTTTTGGGCCTTCAAGTGTATATCGATCCTGGTAACATACAGTGAATTTCGAACTGAAAGCATTATTTTAATCTACTGGGCAAGAAGTAATAAAATAAGAAGGAAACGAGATATCTCTAGATATGGGCAGTCAAAGGAGAAAAACGCCTGTAGATTAATTAGTGTTCAGTTCGAAATTCTCTTTTGGTTGTACGGATCAATATGCATCTGATGAAGGACGTGAAGGGCCGAAAAATTCTCTCATTCCAAATAAAAAGAAATTATATTTACTAAAATTAAACACCAAATTCTCTCAGAGATAAGCTCTTACATTACACTCCGGTTGGGTTGACCTTTGCAATCGACCCAAATGTGAGCACCATAATAACATGGTAATAACATGGTAACATGGTGATAAAATGGTAACATACTAATGACATGGTAATAACATAGTTACATGGTAATCACATGGTAATGTATTAATAACATGGTAACATGGTAATTACATGGTAATCACACGATAACATAGTAATCACACGATAACATGGTAATCACATGATAACATGGTAATAACATGGTAACATGGTAATAACATGGTAATATGGTAATAACATGGTAATCACATTGTAACATGGTAACATGGTAATATCGCAACATGGTAACAACATGGTAACATGGTGATAAACTGGTAACATGCTAGTGACATGGTAATAATATAGTTACATGATAATCACATGGTAACGTAGTAATAACATGGTAACATGGTAATTACATGGTAATCACACGATAACATGGTAATCATATGATAACATGGTAATAACATGGTAATATGGTAATAACATGGTAATCACATTGTAACATGGTAACATGGTAATATGGTAACATGGTAACAACATGGTAATATGTTAACAAATCTATGTTATAAATGTTATAATTATTTTAAATAATATGAAATGTAGCGAAATTCAAATTTTATTAGCGATGGGCCTTGAAAATAGTCCTAAAATCACAATAACTGAATTGAAAATTTTATAATACTAGGATATCAAAAGTAATCCCCAATGTTGTAAAAGGTGAAAATCAGAATTCAGTAGCATTGGCTTTTAACAACTAAACCCCAAAATCGTAAATTCAAAAATTTAATAGCGATAACTAAAAGTAGCAGAGAGTGAAATTCAAAATTTAGTAATTAAGTAATTTCGAAAGTAACCAAAAAATCTGCAAATAGGGACATTAAAAATCTTTGTAACGAGAGGATTTCAAACTTAACCTCTAATGTCATAAGGGTCAAAATTTAAATTTCGCAGCATTGAGATTTAAAAAGAATCCCCAAACTATTCAGAATTTAGACGGGGTTGGCTTTGAAAATTAGCCTCAAGATTTTATTAGGACAGAATTTTAAAATTTAGTAGCACAAGGGTTACACAAGCAACATCCAAATGCCAATCGCGAAATTGAATATTTTCTATTGCTGACCTTTCTAAATGCTGCCTGAACTGGTAACACTGAATCGAAGCAAATTTCATTTAATCCTTTCACAAAAATAAATATGCGAACAAACAATAGATAGATATTGATTAAAGGTTTCTGTGAGTAAAGTACAAAGGCGACTCTGGAGAACATATTGTTTGTTCAATTTATTAAAAATTCTAAATATTCACATCATCCTTAGCATGGTCTTTTCTGTAACAGAAGTTCTGGCCTTTACTGCCGGTAAACAGTGTGCCGACTTCAGTGTTGGTCACTCGGTCGATCCATTTGATATCCCAAATATGTCGTGATAGAAAGAGTTGAGGCGCCTCTGTCTTTACAAGAGATTTCATGGTCCAAAACAAATCTACATAAAAAGCAAGGCCTCCTGTTCTCTTGGTCAACCTGACTTGGGTGATGGCTCTTCGCACGTTTTGTCGCTTGACCTCGGGATCCCTGAAGAAGCTGACCGTGTTTTCTTTTTTCTAATATATTAGTTGACGTTGTTGAATGTTTGATTAATAACTGAATCATCCACAAAGCAATAAAACGGTCTGATGAAAGCATTATTTAAAAGGTAAAAGAAAAGCATTTTCTGTAATCAATTCTTCTGCTTATAAAACAGAAGAATTGATTACAGAAAATGCAGATAAAAAGAAAAAAATATCTAATGACTATAGAAATGTCAACGTACAATGAATAATTAAAACATAATTTACAAAAAAAGAAAAGAAAAGAAAAAAAGAAAATTCTAATTACAGGAAGAGAACAAAATTAAACGTGAAATGTCTTAAATAATAAAATCATTTTGCGCGAGATTAAAGATTTTGTTTGGATGTTGAAACTTTATAGAATGTATGTTTCCGGCCTGAAGGTGATTTATTTCTTCATTGAATTTTAAACTTTTGACAAAGAATAGTTAGGAAAGCAAAAAGCCAGAAATCGAATACATTACAATAGAAATTCTACTGGAAAGTTCTGAGAGTATGGTTTCGTTGCAGTCTCCTGAGAGTACGCATTTTGATGATTGAAATCTTTGTACGCAACAAAACGAGAAAAAGAAAGCAGCACCAGTCCGAGATCTGTAAACGGCTAAAAAGGAGGCATCAGATAAGAGACCACAGCTGCGCCTTTTTCAGACTCAATCAATTGTTCTTAAATCCTTTTGAATTATTTGTTTTTTTGCTGTTTTTTTTCTTTATTATTATTTTCGTTTTTGTTCTTTCTCCATTCGAACTATTCCAGTATGATGAGTTATCTGCCCTTCTTTCCCAACATTTCGCCTGGATTTCTTTTTGGCTTTTTGCTTTTTCCTATCTCAACGGGAGAGCGCGTTCTATCTTATTTACAATTTATCTTATCCGGATTGGTTGAGACTCTGTACACATTTATGTCAAACATGTCCGTAAATTAGAAGTATTCGGATTTGTTATTTAATTTTCATGCTTTTGAGTGAGTCTATGACTTCTACTCACATACGGGATTTTCGTTTTTATAATTGCTGATAGTCATTCTAGAAAATTGTTCACATCACTTTAAACTTCCGAGTGTGATGAAGTGATTTCTGAAGTGTAGTTGAATTTATGTTCGAATTGCTTCTAGGTTAATGGATATGCTTCTAATTAAAATGCCGGAATGGATTTTTCTGTTGTGTAGTAGTCATATTTTCTTTCTTTCTTTCTCAAATTTCTTTTTCTTTCTTTCTTTTCACTTCTTGTTCTTATTTCTTTCGCTCGAATCTTGTCTTTCTTTCACATTTTGCTGTTCTTTTTTATTTATTTATTTCACTTTTTCTATTTCCTTCTTTCCTGATTTGCATTTACTTCTTTTTCTGGTTGTTCATTATTTCTTTTTTTCCTTTCTTTCTTTTCTAATACTTTTTCTTTCTTTCTTTCTTTCTTTCTCTTAAAGTCTTTTCCTTGTCAATTTCTTTCTTTCTTCCTTTTCCTCTCTTTTTCTTTAATCCTTTTCCTTGTGAATTTTTCTTTCTTTCTTTCTTTTTTCTTTCCTTCTTTCTCTTTAAGTCTTTTTCTTGTCAATTTCTTTCTTTCTTTCTTTTCCCCTCTTTTTCTTTAATTCTTTTCCTTGTCAATTTTTCTTTCTTTCTTTCTTTCTTTTTTCTTTCCTTCTTTCTCTTTAATCCTTTTCCTTGTCAATTTCTTTCTTTCTTTCTTTTCCTCTCTTTTTCTTTAATTCTTTTCTTTGTCAATTTTTCTTTCTTTCTTTCTTTCTTTCTTTCTTTCTTTCTTTCACATTTTGCTATTCTTTTTTCTTTATTTCTTTCACTTTTTCTGTTTCCTTCTTTCCTGACATTTAGTTCTTTTTCTAGATGTTCATTCTTTCTCTTTTTCCTTTCTCTCTTTTCTAATACTTTTCTTTCTTTCATTCTTTCTTTCTTTCTTTCTTTCTTCCTTCCTTCCTTCCTTTTTCTCTTCTGTTACTCTCTTTCTTTAAATTATTTATTTCTGTCTAATTATCATTGTTTTTTTTTCTTTTCGTTTATTGTTTTTCCACGGTTTTTTCTTCTCTATATTTACCTCCTTTTGGCTTTCTATCTTTGTAGTTTTCTTCTATCCTTTTTCCTTCGTTCTCAACTTTTGCCAGTGATCCTTCTAGCGTTATTTTAATTCAATGTTACTTTCTTTTTTTTTCTTGTACCTTTCTTCTCCCTTTTTTTTCTTTCATACTTTCTTTCTTTATTTTCCCCTTTCCATGCTAGCGTTCCAAGACAAAATTAACAATGATTGGAAATAATAAATATCTTTTGTACAGATTCTCTTCTGCGTTCACACTCTCTAATATATATATTTAACAAATCCGATCTGTCAATTAAGCAGTGATTAGGATACTAAAAGCAATTAATTGTATTGTTCGATGCGCCTAACATATCATTAAAACGGGTCCGAAAGTTATTGATTACTACTTTTCACGATTGAGTTCGATTTGCTAATTCATGCGGATAATTCGTAGCAGGATAACAATTTTGTTCCCAAGTCCAGATTCGAGTTACGTGACAAGAACAAAGAAAAAGAAGTCCAATCTGAAAAAAAAAAGATTCATTCTAAGATGTCGATTATTAAATTAACAGATATAAATCAGTTGTTTAAAAGTTTCTCTTTTGTGTGACATGGCTCGTCAAGACGTTGACGACCATAGGCCTCCACAAAATGCTATCCTCCGTTAATTCTCAGGATAGTCTGGCTTTTTTACTGCCCCCCCCCGCTAAATTCTTTCAGCCCACTTTCTCAATATATATATATATATATATATATATATATATATATATATATATATTTGGTTGGATAGATGTGAGTTTTGTGACCCTGGGTTTCACGCTTTTAGCGATCGTCAGACAAGCGCTAAAGCGTGAAACCCAGGGTCTCACATCTATCCAACCAAATATGTTAGCTCTATCTCTGATATTGAGCGCTTTCTAATAAGTACCGCGCATATAATATATAAATAATTATACATATATATATATATATTTATTTATATTTATATACACTTTTCACATTGTGTGTGTGTGTGTGTTTCGGCAACAATCCTTCTTTCAAACCTCGGAGTTCTTGACAAGATTCAGAGGCGGATATGCAATATAATTGGCCCTGTTCTGGCATCTCGTCTGCAGTCACTCTCTTACAGACGCGCCGTCGCCTCTCTCTGTCTTTTCTACAACTACTTTCATGGTAATTGCTCCGATGAGCTGCTTTCACTGGTTCCCAGACTCCATGAATTCAAGCGCCCTACGAGGCTGGCATCCCGCTCTCACCCTTTCACTGTTGAAACTGTTAAATGTAGCCGTCTCTTCTACTCCAATAGCTTCATACCTCGCACCTCTCGCCTGTGGAAAACCCTTCCCAATTACTGTTTCCCTGAGAGCTATAATCTCCAACTATTCAAATGTAATGTCAATTGACATCTCCAGTTAGCTTGATCTATCCACTATCCCTCTCTTCATCCTTTCTTCTATCACTCCTATCTGCTCTCGCTCCAAATCTTCTTGAACCCCTTGCATCCTAGTGGCTTCCCGCTTTGCTCGAGGCGTAATGCTTAAAAAAAAATTCATTGAATACGACAGACAATGTGCTTTTATCTAGTTTTTTATACAATTTCTCATGCAATTTAATATTTTTTTCTCTTTTCAGATGACAAATTACATAAAAACTGTCCTAATCTTCTTTTTATCCAAGCGCTTTCGGCTATACATTTAGCCATTTCCAAGGATTAAATGTTTTAACTGTTATATAAGAAATAGTTTGTTGTATGTATATATTTATATAATGTTTTGATTTTTCAAAACACGGTCAAGATATTGTGTCCATGTTCATAGTTAATATGATTAAGTGTTGTATTTTTCTTGCTTTTATTAATAAGGCTTGCATTATATTTAGCCATTTTTTATATCATTTATCATCTGAAAAAAATTATTAGATCGCATGAGAAAGTGTAAAAAAAACTAAATATAAGAACCTTGTCTGTCGTATTCAATGAAACGTGCATATATATATATATATATATATATATATATATATATATATATCCTAAATTTCAACTTTTTTTGAATCGATGCATAAGCGTTCATTATTTCATTTTTAAACTTCCCCTTTAATCACCTGCATGCTTCGTTCATACTCAACATCCTTCTGTAGAACAACATCTCTGTTACCTCAAGTCCCCAATCATCCACCATTCCCTACCATAGCGGGGTTAAGATATTATATAGCATTTCAACGCTGTTTTTGCTTTGTAACGAATTTTTCCTATTTTTTGATTCATTGTTTAGCTTTTGGAAGGCGTCTTTCGCTATTCCAAAGTGTCTTTGGTATTCTATCTTATTTTCTACCATCTGTTAACACATTTCTCAGATAGTTAAATTTCTGAATTTACTTGACATCTCCATGTCGTAACTTACATATTTAATCGGGATCTTTTAAAAATGAATAAGCATTATCTGTCTATATTTCTGAGATGAGGTATTATGTACACTATTTACATTATTTGGACTATTGTCCTCATCTTTGTTGCCATATTTATCTGATCCTTCAGTATCTGTCTATATTTCTGTTGTGGTAGGATCCACCTAATTTGCATAGTGGAGTACCGACCATATCAATATGGTTGGTACCGGGAAGAGAGGGGGGAATCAAGAGATTCAACCAGAGACTCTGCCCGACTGCGACTCAGTCAACACATTCTCCAGGAACGGTCTTACCAGGAATATACAAAAGACTATATGTAAATATTGTGTACACTTTTTTTGTTTCAATACATTTTGTTCTAAGTACATTTTGTGTTGCATTATTATTCCATGCATTAGTCAAGTTTCAACAATTTCTGAGATGAGGGATTATGTACATTATTTACATTATTCGGACTATTGTCTCATCTTTATTGCCATATTTATCTGATCCTTCAGTATCTGTCTATATTTCTGAGATGAGGTATTATGTACACTATTTACATTATTCACACTATTGTCCTCATCTTTGTTGCCATATTTATCCGATCCTTCAGTATCTGTCTATATTTCTGAGATGAGGTATTATGTATATTATTTAAATTATTTGGACTATTGTCCTCATCTTTGTTGCCATATTTATCACAACGTTTCGGCCGATGTATGCTCCGGCCTTTTTCGGATGGTTGGAATGTTGAACTGAACCCTTTATTTCTCTCGGTGGGGTAGACTGTTCTAGTTCCACGTGCCATGTCTAATGGATGTCAGTTATCAGTTATCTCCTGTTAATTCACCTCTCCACGTTCTGCCTTAACCAGGTATTGAACTCACAACTCTTTAGGTCCAATTACTGGATCTAACCAACGCCTTTATCCACTGGTTATCTGTTGGTTAGATCCAGTGACATTTTAATTTAACCTATCATATATCTGTAATTAAGATAAGGTAAACGTACTTAATTGAACATAATTTTTATAGTTTTCGAATCGCCCACAAAATGTAATTGTGCAATCTCATTTACTAAAGAAGAATTAAAAGCTTTAGCAATCTCTAGAAACTATTAAATCAGGGAAAAATTATGTATGGCTGGGAAACGCAGCTCGCTGCTTTTCTAAGACGGAAGAATGATGAAAAGAAAACAACCCTGGGAAATATGGAAATTTTAATTGGCAATAAATGCTGGCAAATCTCTTCACTGAAAAAGAGATTAAGAAGCAACAGAGGAGTCTATCTATAGACGGTATCTAGCAACTGCCCCACGCAGTCACATGTGACACAAGGCCGAATTTAATGTGGGGTTCCCGAGCCCGTAGTCTCGGACAAAAATTCTCTGTGGACCCCGCATAAACGGGATCGGGTCTGTTTACCTCCCCGAACGAGACTCTGATCTTCGGCATAGCCTCGTCCGGGTTCCTCTCTGCCTTCGGGTAGAGATTTCGACCAGCACAGCTGGAAAAGATTCCATCTAGTCTCAAAAAAAGTATCTAATGCTAAGAGTACTATAGTTAGTTTATGTTATAACGATAAACCTTTTAGAAAATAGGAATTACTAGGAAACTTGTACTTGCAATGAGATGAACGCAAATAGAATTACTGAATCAAGAAAGAGGACCTGAAAAGTGTCAGATATTACATAGAGCAGCGCAACGAGACGAAGCCATAGAATGCCATGAAGCGATATGGCACATAAAAGAAGCAGTAGACAGCTTATCTTCCATGCCAAAATGCCTCACTTAGCGAACCATGCATAAAAACGGACACAATATGGAAGCTTCCACTTAAGACTCAGAACGATTTAAGCATTCTCGTTTCCATTACCAGAATGTTGTGAGTGTAGATGAAGTTGACAGTTATATAGAATTGTCGAGTTACACATAATAATAGGCTGATGTATGATGATCCTGCAACTCTTCTACTTCCACCACTACTACTTACACGTTCTTTGGTATGATACTGGCTACAGCCTAAACGAGATTTATTAGTAATCGGAAGTGACTCAGCGAAGAGAAGACATAATGTAATAATAACACGTTTATTAAGCGACTGAAGTGGACATTGCTTTTATGTTTTCTTCACTTATATCCGTTTATTTATATTTCTTTATTGTTTTCTTTCTTTTTGTACACTTATTGTAATGTCTACGTTCTCTGTTTCTCTCAATTTGTAGATTTTATTAATAAGGTTCCTCTTGAAGACAAATCAACGTTAATGTTTCACTTTGTTCTAAAATTATAACACTGTAATAATGTTCGATTATTGAAATTTGGGTTCAAATTGTAATGTGTATGTAGTAAAGTGAGTTCACTTTTGTAATTAAAGTTCAAGTTTCAGTGTTAAGCACATGTAAGAAACCTTTTACGAATTTGATACTTTCTCTATAATTCTCACGCTGAAGCGCATTCTGCAAAAAAAAAGGTTGCTGGCAATACTTCCGAAGAAAGGTATTTGCCTTTGAGAATCAACGATGATAGTACCCTAAGTTACTTCCAGAGAGAGCAACAGTATCTTCTATAAGATTTAAGAAACTCTTTGCTTTTTACTTCGATCAACTCATTTTTTACAGATCCTCGGTCCTTTTCTCTGGCAGTGAATACAAGACAATCTCCTTCCAGATGAAGAAGAGTCTCGGAGCAACAGAAATATGGTTCTACGGAAAGATGCTGAGAATATTATGTACTGAACACGTGAGCAACGACGACGTTTTAGAGAAAAAGGTAACAGAAAGGAAACATCGAGTTCTTTATATTCCCATACGAGCAAAAATACTCTTGGGAATGGGTTGAATCCATCTATTCTCCCTACCAGCTATGGGTTGAATAGCCCTGGTTGGCAAGTAGTGTGCCGCAGAAAGAAATGGCAACCTACTGATGGAAAATCTTCTGCCTAGTCAGTCACGAATCGAAGGCACGTGATCGCCCAAGCGTGTATCACGTATGGCACTTAATTGAGTGACGGATAATTAACATCAAGAAGAGACAATTAAAATCTCTAGGGCACATAATGAAGAAAGAATTCTTTTAAAATTTGATACTCACAGGACAGATTGAAGGAAAGAGGAAAACGACGCAAAAATTTCGTAGCGAATTTGTGCAAATGGATTCAGGGGGAAGATTTTGGAGAGATAGCAAAAAGATAAAAATACTTTAAAAGCTACAAAGGACAGGAAATTGTGGAGAGCTCTGATCGCCGACGTTCTGATGCAACGCGCCTCATAGAAGAAGAGT